CACACAGACAACCTCTCGTCAATATGCGTTTTTTGCATTGCATAACTGCAAAAAACGCATAATTATTATCACAGAAGCCGCGGAAGCTAGAAAGCTGAAATTTTGTGGGTCCATGTGCTACCTAGGAAATCTAAATTCAGCTTTCCCCTGCCCATGAGTAACATGTACGGCCCCGTGAAAATTTTTGACAGGTAAATTATCTCGGGAACCACGGGGTCTAGGAAGTTGGGATTTTAGTGTAATAACCCCCTACCCACACCCGACCTTGCCTATTCAAATCCAACGTTCTCGTGCTCTCGGGCATTACTTACGGCTTCATGAAATTTTTGGTTGGTAAATTATTAACTCGGGAGCCGCGGAATCTATGAAGCTGAAATTTCGGGGTGATGACCCCTTGCCCACGTTCGACCTTGTCTATTCAAATTCGGTGTTTCCGGGCCCTCGGGCATCACCTACAGCGCCATGAAAATTTTGGCGGGGAAATTGTTATCTCAGGAATCATAAAAGTCAGAAAACTGAAATATTATGTTAATGTCTTCTGTCCACATACAATCCTGTAATTTTAAATTCTTCTTCCTGCGTGTCCGAGTATCACTTACGGCCCCGTGGAAGTTTCGGCGAGGAAAATTATTATCTCGGAGACCGCGGAAGTTGAGAATCTGAAATTTTGGGGTGGTCTTTTCTACAAACGTACGACCTCGCAGATTTGGACCCAGCCTTCACGCACATCTGGGGTACCACGTGCAGCCCTGTGAAAGTTTTGACAGAGGAATTATCTCATATGCGTGAAATTTTAGTGGGAAATTCCGCAACTTAAGAACCAGACAACATTTCAACTATTTTCACACAGACCAAAGTGCAAAGCAGTGAAAACCATTAGCAGGCAATCGTTCGGTGAATGGAATTGCACAAAATGCATGATCGCACCGGCTGCTCTAGTGTGTGCCGCTATTTATTTTTGATTTCGTCTATTCCAGGAACAATACGAAAACTACAAATGGAGACTTTTATGGAATACATCCAAACTGTCATTGCTCAGGATTTCGGTTTCTCAGACGAAGAAACAATGAAGTCCCTGCAAGACTGCCTCAGGAAGCTCCATGTATATTTGAAATTCAGTCAAATTACAGTTATTCCGAAGTACTTGTATCTTCCGTTACTAGATGGGCTCGAATTGGAACTTTAGCTGTTATTCTTTGGGTTTTTCATAAGCG